AACTGCATGTCTAATAATTTTTTATTAGTTGAAGGATAAGAAAATGAACATAGAAGGCTCCCAATCCATTAAAAACAGTTTTGACATCTTAAGTAAAAGAATTAATAACATATTATAGAAGGTATTTAAATTATACACTAATACTAAATACCTTAAAACTATTACATATATACTACAATTAAATTGCAACGATGATGCAATGTATGTATATAGCATATGGATAGTGATTTCTAATTTTTTTTGAACACTCTCATGTTCACCAGACATTACACTGGCTCCATCGAATGATTGAGAAACGATTGGAATTTTTAAAAGATCATATCTCTCTAAACATTTTAAAATGACATTCGATAATGATTCAGCACTTTGACTTTCAGATACATTAACAAAAGCAAGAAATCTTTCATGTATTTTGAATATCTAACACAAATAGCCATTTGTTCATCTTTAAAACATCTACAAAGACAAATATTCATTAATTTATACAACAGTAACGAGTTCTTAAAAATATAATTAAAAAAAAATTAAATAAATTATAAAATATATTTAATAAAAATAATACCTTGCTTCATCACACATTAGAGAGAAAAATTGGTAGTCTTTTATGTCCTTAACAATTGTTGACGTAACATAATCTGAACAAATTTGTATTGACCAACTAGTGTAATTCGTAGGTAAGTTATAATAAAAAGCAAAAGAAGAATTGTATTAGACATTAGTTTACAAATTTCCTATAAAAATGTTTTTATTTACAAAATCAGTTTTGTAATACTTAGCAAATATATTCTCTCTCAGATAAATTTTGTCTCAGATGACAACTAACACCTGAGATTAGACTCATTTAGTACAGATGATATTATTGTAATAATTAATATATTACATTATTGGTATTTGAAATAAAAATATCTGAAAACTAAAAATGTTACCTTAAATAGTTGAGTCTGTTCCTTCCTTATGACCACAATATGACAATCATTGACGTGCAATTAATAATAAAACATTTACAATAGCTTTAATGTATTCACGGTTTTTTATAATTGTATTTTTTTGAACATTAGACATTAAAGTGACAACAGAACCATTTTTATTATATTGGATATAAAAGTGTCATTTTGCAGCACTATTTAAATGTTGTTCACAAATTTTATTTAAATCCAACTTTGATTTTTTTTTTTTATTTTTTATCTGATCCTTTGGAACCACTTTTGTTGTGTTTAAATGTTGTGTTGTTAGGTGATATTTTAATAATTATAATAATTAATTACACCGTATTTAACTTTATATTAATATATATTTAACTTTTTATATATAAGAACTTAAACAACAGTATTACAACACACTAGACAAAATTCTATATGGTCAAACATTAATTCTTATATGTATCTTGTGATAGGTAATGGCCGGCGGCCTGGACCGGTTCTAGCCGTCCGTCGGCCACTCCGTATGGCGCGACCTGCCGGACGTAAAGGGAAAGCGCCGCGATCGCCATCCAGTGGTAAAGCTGGAGTCGCGATGCGACCGCGACATGCTATAATTGAAATAAATTAACAGAATTTAAATTAATCTCTAGAACACTGATTTTTCTTTCTTTTATTTTTTTTAATATTATATTTATTTATATTTATATTTATTTAATAAACGCCCTGTGGGCATAGAGTACAGAGATAATTAGTTAAAATACATGAATAAAGTAATTTTGCATACATAATAAAGATGAATAATAAAAAAAAAACAACAATAAGTATTTAAGATAATAATGAAACTATAACTAAAGATTATAACTATTTTTCATGCAATTTTTTAAATCTGAAAAACTATCTAAACTTAAACTATCTATTATATTAAGTAAATCTTTATAAAATTTTTCAACTGCTAAATTTATGTCTTTTATTGAGTATAAATCAGACCAATTTATATTTGCAATCATATTGTTCATTATTGTATAATCGACGTTTTTGTAGTTNCTGTTCATTATTGTATAATCGACGTCTTTGTAGTTATAAAACCATGACTTGGTTTCATCAAGTGATTTAGTATTTTTTATATTACTTTTTATTATAAATGGTTGGTGATATCTATCTACCGGTACTATGCTGTCGTCTAAGGGGAGAGTATTAATTGTGTTATCATTTGAGAAAACCAGATCAAGTTGAGAACCATATTCATTTACTATACTATTCATTTGAAACAAATTAAGTGACACAAAGCTTTCGTAAATAATATTACCTGTTACGTGAGATTTATCTGTATTATAATTCAGACCACTATTGTTATTTGTAAACCGAAAACCGGATAAATTAAAATCACCTATAAGAATAAAATTTTTAATTGGCGAATACTCATTAAATATATATTCAACCGTTTGTTTCGGTAAGAGCTAAGTATTTAATATTCTGATTAGTTGGTGGAATATAGCAAGCACCTAAAATAAGTTTATAATTATTTCCACCTTTAATCATCAAGAATACTTGTTCAATATTATCATTAGGAATATTAATAATATCCACAACGAAACGTTTATGTATAGCTATCAATACCCCACCTCCTCTCTTGCAAATACTTGTTTTTTCGCTCCGGTCTACTTAATAGACATTGAAATTATCAAACCCAAGCTCGTTATTTGTTATATCAGTAGATAACCAAGTTTCTGTTAATACAAAATAATCTACTTTAAATAGCGGTATGTTATATCTTAATACATGTAATTTTTAAATTTATATTGCTATAACTTTTGGAGAAATNTAGTGCGCAGACCTCTTACATTTTGATAATACCCATTTATACAATTGATTTTAGATTTATATGAATTAACATTATTTTTGAAATTAAACTTAAAACTATTACTAATATTACATTTTTTCATATTACTTTGCCCAGGCTGAATCAGTTTTTTTGAAAAAGTGTGGGAACTCCATGAAGGTATTTAATAATCCAATTTCTTTCCCCGTTGTTCCTCTTTTGCTGAAGTTCAAGACGAAGAGACTTCATTTTTTCACGTTGGATAGTTGTCAGGTCCGAATTTATCCAAAGGTTATTATATTTATCTGTATTGCGTAATTTTGATTTTGATTTTAGAATAGTAGTTACATCTGATGCTTCATTGAATGTAATTCGTAATGGCCGATTTTTAATTGATGAGTTACCTATTCTTTGGATTTTAGAAATAGAAACATTTACTTTCATGTTAGATATTAAAATCATTAACAACTGCTTCATCACTTATAATATCGTTTTCAGAAGTATTGAAAATTAAAATATTACGTGATCTATATAATCTATTATTAATTTCGTTTACTAGATCGATGTTATTTTGATCAGTAGAGTTCATTTTATCACGCAAATTATTTAATTCAGATTTTAAAAAATCATTCTCTTTTTGCAAGTTATTAAATGAGGTTTTTAATTCTTGAAATGTATTCCTTAGATCAGTAAAGTTATTTTCATAGATTGTTTATATCCTTCATACCTCTGTCGTGCTTTTCATCAATATATTTCAGTAACTTCATTACATCGTTTATTGAATAATCAATGCGTGCGATAGAAGAATTTGTTGTATTTTTGATCGGCGTATCACCTTGTTTCGGCATTTCTAAAAGTAAATTACTAAGGACTTATCATTAGATAATATTTTATCGTATGGTAGAAACGAACAACAAAGCACGTCCGAACGCTACGAAGGTCTATACTGTACTGTAATATATAATAAAAATAATATTTTAATTTATGAATAAAATTAAACGCTTGTTTTTTTTTTCAATTTTTAAAACCAATGGAAACAAATGTTTCCTCTACAACATTACTACAAAAATTTCTGCAAGCATAACAATAAATTGCATCTTGTATGATACTATACTCCAACCAATCAAATATATCATATAGAGCAGAAGAAAATGCGCTATTTTAGTTTCCAAATTTAGTTATAGGATAAGCCTAAGAGCATAAATTGCTATTATAAACAATTACTAAATATCATAATTAATAAGCATTGTATAATGTATACAGGGTGATTTTTTTATCATAACCCATTCAATTACTTGCAGAATAATAATAATTTAAAAATTTTTTTTTATTATTATCTTTAGTTACACATTATTCTTGAATTATTAACTATGTAATAATTTTAAAGTTCATCCCTTATGCCTGGTAAGGGTGTCAACTTTGTTTTTTTAAATGGAAACACATATTTTTAATTTAATAAAATGTTTGAGGTTTTATTTAATTAATAAATGACATTTTATTTCTAACGTGACATTATTTGTTTTAACTTAGGTCTTATTGGTCCTGAATTTATATCTCCAAGATCTGATACATCATCCTTATTTTATGCAAACCTTAGTTTATGCAATTTTTTTTGTCTTCAGATTCGACTGACTCTGTATCAATTAATATCTTTTCAACGTGTTTAACGGTTTTATTTTTGTTTTTATCAGAAAAATTAAAAATACCAAACATTTTTTCTTTTCCAATATAATTTGATAAATTAAAATATTATACCAAACAATAAAACACAAAAAATGAAATAAGTAGGCACTAGGTCAAAATTAAAAATAACTTAAAATTTCAACTAACAGCACATGGTTGATATTGAAATTATGAAAATTCTCGTTGAAAAAATCGTTTTTAACACGTTCGCCCCGACAAATTCTTTCCCGATTTTTAAACTTTTTCAAAACCCCGACGTGTACCACCGGTGGTACACGCAGTAGTTTTCAAAACCCCGACGTGCGCCACCGGTGGACACGGTTACTATGGTGATTGTACGCTATAAAATGGCATTGCGGAGTTTCTGTAAGTGTTTCTACTATGTATTCGTGTTATTAGAGGACACGTGAAGCATGTCCACGGGTGGTACACGAACATATGTTGGGTTTCAACACCATAATAAAAGACGAAAATACAAGAAAATTTGCTTTTATTTATTACAATCAAAAAACGTTTTAAATATAAAAAACTAAATAAATAAGCAATTCTAAACTGTTCATTTTGTGCGTGTTCTTCTCTTAATGGTTTTTATTAAAACAATCTATGCACATTGGGGGATTCCCTTCACAGGTGTTGCAAAAAGTGACAACTCTCTTCGACAGCTTCCTCGCAGCCTGTGCTCCTTTTTCTGCAGATAGCTGTTGATAGCAATGGACACACCTTTTTCTGTTTGCTCTCACGCTTCCTTCTTTCTTAGCCAACTGATGTTTTTTCTTGTTAGGTTGTTGAGCTGGTGTTTGGGTTCTAGGTTGAGGATCTTTTTGTAGTAGGTGGTTTATAATGCTCTCCCTAAAACGCAGCATGTCCCTTTTTCTTGGCCCAAACTGGTTGCATAAAACAAATGCGTTAACTACACATGATCCAAGTAAAATCTCAAGGGCAACCTTCTTGTACCATGCTAGTGATTTTCGAAGAGGCGTATAATATGATGAAGCCATCTGGTCGGAAAAATCAACGCCTTTTTTTGCATTGTTGTATGCCAAAACAGCAGTAGGCTTGTATAATTCTTCACCAGATCTTTTTCTCTTACCAGAGTTAACAAGTTCCTGGCTATCCTCAGGGCGTGTGGAGAGCATCATAACAACTCTTTTGTCCCGCCATTTAAAACACTTTACCCCTGAGCTGTTTTCCTTCGATACCATTTGGCCTTTTGATATCTTAGCAGTTGTTACAGATTTAGGGTTCCCTTTACGATCCATACGGAGGGTACCACACAGGTAAGTTTTGTTTTGTAACAATAAATCAGCCAGTTTTACTAAGGTGTAAAAGTTGTCCACATACAGAGTGCGTCCAACTTGTAGTTTGTCATCCATAAGTTCCATAACAACTTTCTCAGCATGTCCCTGATTAGCCAACACATCTGATTTCCCTGCGTATACTTTTACTTTAAAAGTATACCCGTTGGTAGAGCAAATCTTGTAGAGTTTTATGCCGTATTTATGTGCCTTTCCAGGCAAGTACTGCCTAAAAAGCAAGCGCCCCCTCCAAGGAATCATTGATTCATCGATTACCACAGACTCATCAGGAACCAGAACTTCTTTGAATTTGTTATTAACATAGGTAACCAAGCATTTGATTTTTGCAAGACGTGGCTCATCTAATACTGGCACATTATTATCATGGAAATGCAAGCATTTCATCAAACAATCAAACCTATCTCTTGGCATGGTTTTCCTGATCACCACGTTGCCATACATCGGATTTTTGGANTTGATCACCACGTTGCCATATATCGGATTTTTGGACCAATACATCTGCCGTTTAGGAAGAGGACAAATCCCCATAATCATTAAAATTCCTAAAAACTTTTTAATTTCTTCTTTAGTACAATCTTTCCATTTAGCCATAGGTGCACGTTTCTTCGGAGCCCTATTACTCAGAAGCTGATGAGCATATCTGTTAGTTTCAGTGACTACAATGTCCAAAAGCTCATCAACAACAAATTGCTTGAAGGCTGCAACAGGATCATTTAGATCAAAATCAACTTGTAGGCCAGGCTGTGCGTTGAAGGGAAATTGCTTACATGTTGATTTAAAGTCTGTCCATTCAAGCATCTCACTTACATAATTATTGTGAATTGATCTTACCACATCAAGCACAGGATCCCCGACTTCTTCTTCTACAATCATGTCTTCTAAGTCTTGCCCTTGATNACAATCATGTCTTCTAAGTCATGCCCTTGATTACTGTTAGGGGCTTGTTTAATAGTTGAGGATCTTGGTCAAAACCAAGAATCGGAAGCTACCCGACGTCTGCCCAAATATCGTCCCTATCTCCTTAAATGAGTTTTAATTGCCTGAAGGAGACACAGGCAATCGTGTACCTTAGTTACAGGGGATAGATTATTAAATAAAATTAGACTATTGTTTTATGTCAACGACAAAGTAAAGTTATATTTAGGATGTTCAGTAAATATAAGTTATATGTAATGTACAATACGTCTGACCTGAATCCTAGTACAGTTGGTTAGTAGGTATATCCAAGTGAGACGGAGTTGGTTGGCTATGATGACAATTGGCGATAGACGGGTTGTTGAATAAAACAAGTTAAGTTATAAATAATATAAATAAGACGTAAGTAATAATATTGAAAACTATGTCTATAACGGCCACTCAAACACAACTGCCCTTTGTTAGTTCGACGTCAGTAGCTCCGGGCTACAGACGAGTAGAATTGTCACATCAGCATCTCCCTCTATGCTAATTAATATGTATTACGAATTAAATAAATAGAAATAAAACGTGTGTAATATAAGTGGTAAGAACATAGTAATCAATGTTCTTACATTTATAGTAATGCAACCGTACAAGCCATGGGCATGCTCCATGCGCATGCGCGCGGCGCCCGGCGTACGTGCACAGGTTTGGTAGGGTAACCCCCCTCGTGTCGTCGTCGTCGGATAAGAGATGGAATCTCTTATCGAGCAAGCCCAAGCTCGGAAAATTACGCGCGTGCGTCGACATAACGCATTGTCATTGATTGGTTTAGCTGGTGCTCAAGGTGCTTTGCAATCTACAGCCGTTTACGGCGAACACGGCAACGACGCCATTGAAAAATTATCGTACATTGCTAAAAACACAACGTCTGGCGGCAATAAAGGAATTACATGGTTCGGATCAAATTATGTAGGGCCGGGAAATAATGTCAATACACAAAACAAATTTACAGGTAAACAGTTGCCACAAAAGGCATTAGATTGGGAAGCTCTAGAGCACGACGTTCAGTTTACCACGACGAAAGATACTTCAATAGCAAACGTAAATAAGATAGATACAGATATGATTATACACAGCTTGAATACAACAGACCCGTATTATGGCAATATAGCCGCCGCTGTTGGCCTCACTGTTAAAATGTTGGGAGAACGAACGTGGCAATCTATAACGCATTCCGACCAATCAGTGTATCCCGGCCAACCTAATTCGATGACAACCTACCGGCTTCATTAATGAATTTGCCTACGGCTTTGACTCAATATTATACAATGTACTGCCACATTACCAAACAGCAAAACCAATATACATGGCAAAGACTAAATAAATATATTACAAAATTTGACGCTTCTCACGTCATCAGCGAGGAAATAGTAAATTACGAATACGAACCGATATACGCATATGTAACAGCACCCTTAAAAACTCATGGTTACCGTTTGCTGCCAAACAAATTTTATATACCAAATTGAGGTGGGGAAGAATTACACGGATTGACCGCCATAGTCAACAACGACGAAGATCCGAGAAAAAGATTTCATGAACAGGAAACGATGAAAACGAAAACGGTGGCAGAAAAATCTACTGTTTGGGAACTGATAAAAGACAAACGATTTGTCGGCCCGCTAGACTTAGAAAATTATTACCATAAAAATGGAGATAATAATGTACAACGGCGGGCTCAACCTAGTCTGCACGTTGGAGTGTACCCTGTTCCTAAAATGACTACTACAGAAGGTACACTGTATGTATCCGTCTAAATTTTTAAACGTCGAACCTCTGTGGACAGTTCAAGTAGAATGTCACGTCAAATTCGGTTATCCTAACGAATTTGCCAGATTTACGGATTATAATACAGGAATAAATGATGCAACCGAAGAATTGAGCGTTTCGGATAATGTCATAATCGATACGACTGATGACTCATCGACTTATATGGGACGTAAAATAATGGATATATATGCCGCCCCGCCAGCAACGCAAACATCTAGAACACGCGTGCCGAGAGGAATTTTTTGATTGTACTAATACACAATAATATAATTGACTTTCAAACGACCTTATTGTTAATAATACTTAATAAACAAAATCATTAAAGGTTATTATACATTTATTTGATTACTAATACATTTTTACATCATGATGCAATAGATAATTATATTAAAACAATGGATTAATTTTTTTATCATATTCTTTTAAAAATGACGCACGTTTCCACTTATAAGCTTTAATGCGCGACTGAAATGCTTTTTCGTGCAACAGTCCTATATTACTATTAGTTAATATTATAACTGGTGGGCCCTGTATTGTCTGGTCAGACTTAAATTTTACGTGAACTCTACACGTATCACCTCCCAAAAGTTCTTTTAATTTTTCGATTTGATCTCCCGAATAATTGGGCTCATTCCATAAAACTAAACGTTTCTGTGCCGCCTCAGAATATCCGAAAGTATTATAACGGTTTAGGGCAGATAGTTGCCCGTAGTTTAAAAAATAAGCGCAAACAGCGTCGAAAAAGAAATTTTTGACCGCGCAAGGCGGCGAGACAATGCATAAAGTATTTAATTTGGGGATTTTTTTATTCAGTATATCGTATAAATTTTGCAGAAAATCGCGAACGGCGGTGTTGTCGGAGTTAAACTGATACATTAATAGTTCGTCGGCTAATATCATGGAGTATTCTACGGAATAATATTTTGAATGATTGGAAAATTGGTAAGCCTTAAAATATGGTTTACAATCATTCATCGAGTATAATTTATGAAATTCTTCCATCGTCCAATGGTTAATAATTGTTTTCCATTTGTTTAACGCGTTAACACAAATTTCCGATCTATCGTTTAAGTCGTCGAAAAGAGGTTCGTTTACAAATTCGCGAGTTTCGAAAATCATATCGGGAGGGCAAGTGGGAAACATGCGTAACATTTCTTTAAACTTAAGTTTTATTAATTCTTTCCTCCCCATTTTTGTTTTTTGACTCGCTTGAAATTTGGATCCTGTTTTATCTCCGCCAGTGTATCCTCCGCCAATCTCTTGATCATTTTGTGTTGCGGAGAGTTCTCTCGGCAAGTCCCTGTTATTTTCAGAAATACATGTTTCCAGTAGTCCGAACTCTCCACATGCTTTATGTCCTGCTTTCTGTAATTAGTGTTAAAACATTATATTATACAAATATTAAAACATTGTTATTGTAGACTTACCGGTACATCCTCACATCGTAACATATGTCCGACGCTTCGACCTCCGACGAAACAGAATATGCAGACTCGGCCAGATTTGCTGAAATAACCCATGACATTTTGCCAGTCTTGTTCGTCGAGGTCATTTCGGAATACTTTTCTTCCCAGTTCAGATCTTCTGAACTCTGGGAGGCCGCTCGTTTTTTTGATCCAAGAGCACCTACAAGACGCGTTTGCACTAGCGCAGGTGTGTACGAGGTGCAGATGTTCGTCGTGCGTGGCAAGGACGACGACGAACGATGGATCGTGACTGTTTCGTGAGCGCTGGAAGTTTGTGACCAAGTCAGTAACGAGTCTGCGAAGTCTTCCAGATCTATCGGGCACCAACACCCAAGATCTATATCTGACTCGATCGTCTTCAGTATTGTGACGAACTGCGCTAACAGCAATTCGTCGTATCGCGTCTAAACGAAAAATTAACAATAAATTTCGATTAAAAAAATAAAAAATCGACAATAAACGTACCGTCAGTTTTTTCTGGGCCGTTGTCAATACAGTAAGCAAACTGTCTTTCAGTGTTGCTTTTTCGTTTTCTATTTCCGTCCATATCTGCGGTGTTTCCAATTTCTTCCACATTCTGATTAAAAGCTGTTACGTGTCCTCGAAAGTCAGCCAGAGAAGTAAGAGAGTCGTCGAACATGGTAGTTCCGTACTCGATTCCGGAACAAAAATCAGTAATCTGGCTAATAACGTCAACGTCGTCGCCGTAAACGGACCAAATTTCTTCTTGCATTGTTCGATCACAGCATAACGTTTCGTATTCAATAGGGATTCTCTCCACGTTACTAGTTCCGTTGTCCAGCCATTCAACAACTTTGTCGTTACTGTTCGTTCGGGTTCCAATATCTGCGCAAAAGTCTAATGAAATATTTTTAAATGCTTATATTAGCATAATTTATATCTTATTTTGTTACTAAAACCATAGAATGAATGTACAATAGATAGGTTTTGGTTAATTCTTCACTGATAAAAAAAAAACACTTTCGTATTTTTGGAAAGTCTATAGTATTTTATACACGTATTTACTTTTGACCAAAATTTGATCCGTGCGCCACCGGTGGCCACGTCGGGGCGAACGTGTTAATATAGTATTAAAGTGCCTCATCAATGTACCGCGCGTAGGAAGGCGCTCTGCAGGGAGAGCAGTGTGGCTTGTGATACGGTAATCGTTGCTTACGTTTACACGGGTCACCATAGTCTCAAAGTAATATATTATATTGTTTTCTATACCTCTGTGGTAGTAATCTTGATAACTCAAGAAACCACGGTCTTAGACACCGATTAACTACAATTCAATATAATTGACCAAACAACTATATTTGTATCAATAATAATAATTACATGCATTTTACTTTTAAAATTTTAATCGATCAATCATTACAAAAATGCTAATATTTAATACAAAAACAGAGGGGCTTGAGCTAATTTGAGGGGGGGGCTAAGCCCCACCCTATACCCCTCTTGATTGTGCCACTGGTCACAAATAGAATTATCAAGTTGAATAAAACGTCCAATCGTATATAATATTGAGTTATATCGAGTACTGACATCTTGAAGTAGTTTCTTTGGTTCTTTTGCTCCATTATTTATTTGGTAAGTATTTAATTTATTATTTACTAATGTCTTCTACGGAAAAATGACACAATTGTTTTAATTTTTTCTAGAAGACCAGATTCT